CCTTTTTTTCCTGTTGTTGACGTAGTGTTTTGAGTACAGTCTGTGTTTGAGCTTTTTCTTCTTGTAGTTATTTATATTGGTTCGCAGTTATATATTGAATACTCTCAAATAAATCAGGAGTATTATTATTTTCTGTGTTTTCATCTGTTTCCATTTCTACTATTTGTTAGTCCTGTTCAGATTGTTGTTTCTGTTTGGGTTGTTGTTGTTATTCATTACTTACTGTTTGTTGTTGGTAATTAGAATATTGCTGTTGTTGTTGTTTTTGTAGTTGACATTGTTCATCTGCCTTTGCCTGTTCTTTCACTTCTTTTGTTTTTTGTTGAAGGCATTCTAGGTAGTATACTTTATTATCATAAAAAAAGTAACCTTCTGGGAGTTGGTGGTGATTATTAATAGCTTTGCAACTGATTGCAGTTCAGCATTTAGGGCATGTGTGGGTATGAGCTTTAGAGGCAGGAGAAGTTGGGATAGTTGTTGATGTTGATGCAATAGCTTGATTCATTTGTTTGGTATTTCTTTGCTTGTTTTTCTTACCAACAACAGAAGCTAAGAATGTAAAAGTATGAATAACACCGGTTGCAAAGTTGAATAGTGTATGAAAATTGCCACAAAGGCATTTGACTATTGCAGTTGTATATGATGCTTTGAAGAAGTGAGTTTTTTTGACTTATCTGGTGTTTACTGTGACACAACTTGATGGTCCAAACTGAGGAGTGATTGTTCTAACCATGCTTAGTTTATTTTTATAGATAGTGACTCCAAAAGTATTTGCATAGTTTGTATAGAAGACATCGAGATCAAGTACGTCCAGATCTTGAGTAATTGAAGTAGGCATGTTGGTGAATATTTTTGCTTAAGGGCGCTGATGTGATTGTCTTAGTGAAATTCTCAAGAAATAGTATTTAGAAAGTTTAAAATAGTATATTTAATAGATTTAGATAGGGATAGATATTACTAAAGTCTTTAGTATAACTATTGTGACTAGTGTGGCTTGTATAACCTTGTGTAACCTCATGTAACCCAAATTGGTCTGGGGTAGTATGAGAGTGTGGCTAGTGTGGCTGGTGTGACTGGTATAACAAAAAAGTTACATGTAACACCAAACTATATATAGAATATAAAGAAGTATAAAAATAGCAATTAATAAAAATAGATTTGTATTATTAATTAGATTACTATTTTAGATAATTTGATTAATACAATAAAAAATTTAATTGCTGATCCGCATGTGATTGATAAAAATTAAATAGTAAATTCTGACACTATATTTAATAATAAAAAAACTCTTATTTGAAATCTCTATTTCTTTAAACATTAAAATGACAAATATTCATATAACACCAGAAGAGCTTGTTACAACAGGTACTATTGTACTAGAACTTTACTATGGTCCTTATTTACGTGATTGGTGGCTTTTTTCTAAAGAATATCAAGAACACATACCATATCCTATTCCAATACATTTAGAACTTGAAATCATGATACAACTAAATCAAATATCATTTATTATTCGTGTAGTTCATTATGTACATAGTTATTTACAACCTGGTTATATATGTAAAGGAGGTGGACAAAGTAGTAGTGTAATGACAAATTCTTCTGTGGCAATTACTTCAGTTTATCAAGCCATTTTTGGCACTAAAACAAAAATTGCAGGTCCTTCATATTTAGAGTTAGAACAAACCAAAACATTTCAAAAGTTATTAGAAGATGTTATATTTCATCCTTTTATTATTGAAATAGAAAATTTGTCTATTTTTGTTAGCTCTCTTGGTAAAATTACATGTTCAAACAAGAGTATAGTTGGCCACAATTATATATCATCATTTTTTTATAAATATAAAGCAAAACAATCAGTTTTTTTCAAAGTATTAATAAGGACAATTTATATTCAATTATAGTTTATCAAAATAGTCAAATTGTTGCTGAATATAAAGATAGTTCTCCAAATAATGTTTGGAAACAAACTGGAATTTTAAAATCTATTTTAGGCGACACATTATTCATTATAAACTACTCAATACTCTACTAAAATTGAATAAAGCATATGAAGCAAAATTTTCTTATCAGCCCTTAATACCAGATAAATGTACACTTGCAGATTAGAATAACAAAGTAATTATAGAACATTTATTTGATCTAAATTTAAAAAAAGCCATTAGTAAATCCTCTGAAAAATGGTATCAAATCTTTCAAAATTGGAAACAACAAAAAAGCAATATCATTGAATTATATACTCATCTTAGAAAAACATATGGATCAAACTATGAATTTCGAGAACGTGAAGTACGAGCTTGGCATGCAATATTTCATGCAACAGGATGTTTAGATATTACACCATATGATAAACAACTTTCTGAAGTAATTATAAAAAATCAAAATTGTTATATAATATATATTATTATAGACCACAAACTAAATAATTATATAAATTATACTTGCGGGCCAAATTACATTCTCAAAACCCTTATTCAATACAATAATTTCTATTAATCAAAACTATTCTAGTATTTGTCAATTTAAAATAAATTAGAATCATTTCAAATCAAAAAACAAAAACAAATCTTAAATTCAAATATATTAGAATTTTTTTAAATTTCAAATATAAAAATTTTGCCAACAAGTATATAAATAACTACAAGAAGAAAAAGCTCAAACACAGACTGTACTCAAAACACTACGTCAACAACAGGAAAAAAAGG